TCATACACAATGGAGTAATGTTTCTGCATCTGTATTAGTATGTTTGAGGAAAAAAGGAACTCTATCACTGCTACCTAAATCGCCAAGACACATACTTTTCTCTTGTAAGTCAAAAATTAGCATCTCTACTAAATACAATTCTGGGAGTCATTTACCCTGTTTTGATTTCTATATCTCTAATATGGATAAAAAAATCGGTTTATTATCTCTTATCAAACCCTAAAAGGACAGATATTTCTCAAACTTAGGATTTTTTTTCAGATTTTAGGAAGGTAACTATGTATCATATATGACATCATATCTATTCCCAGTGGTCTAGGAAGCACCTGTAATCAAGCAAATTAACATTTCTACATTCAAATATTAGAAAATTTGGGTAAGAGATAATGAGGGTGAGAAGAATAATTTCAGTTGAAATTTGCCACCATGTGTTTAAAAAAAAAAAAAAAATCAGCTTTTCAGAGCTTTTTGGATTTTGGACCTCTAAAAATACAATAAACCACCTCACCTAATTTTCATTAAGAACAATGGTACTCAAATTAGAGAGCACCTACTTTGTAGGAAGCACTGGGCCAGGCATTAGGAGGAAAAAGATCAGGGAGAGGACTAGAATCTAACTTGGAAAAGCCCAAAATCTAATATGACCTCATAGTTAAGTAGCAGTAAATACCATTGCCTTACCTTATAAATACAAACTGTCTCCTTCAACTTATGATTGTAGCCAAAGTACAGCAAGAAATGCAGATCTAAACACTCTTTCAAAAGCAAAATAGGGTATCACTCTGTTACTAATAATCTTCCCTTAGTTCCATACTGACTTCACACACAATTCTAAAAGAAGCTAGTTACCTATTTTCCCCATAGACAATTATGAAGTAAAACTCTAAGAAGGGGTTCAAGGAAGTGAAGGAACACAAGATATCCTTCTCCCCACTTTATTGCTTCTGATTTGTGGACTGAGAAACGGAACATTGACAGTATTGCCAAATAACAATCTAGTAACAGTTCTGTTTAAGGATTACCTATTGAGAACCTACTAAATAATATGCACTATAGGAGGCACTAGATATGTGCCTTCTAGAAACAAACAAGGCAGAGCCCTCTCAGGTCCTCAGTTCAATGAAGATCACTGTGAAAGGTAGAGGTGGACAATAAATTGCAATACAGTGTAATAAGGAAAGTTTGAAGAATAAAAACCATTACAGCAGGATTTGGGGAGTCAAGAAAGGTTTCGTGGAGAAAATGACATTAGAGAAGAGTCCCAAATTGAAGTTTATTAGACAACAGAAGGGTGATAAACACTTAAAATATCCCTCTTCCCCAACAAGGACATACATGCAAACACATGCACATGAATGAAAAGGAAAATATTCAGGGTAAGTGCAGATATGTACAAAATGGTTAATTAAGTCTAAATGGACATACCCTGAATCTAAGCATACACAAAACATTAATGTGTCCAGAAAAGAAAAATATTCCTTTTATTCTAGATATTCACTGTCCTGCATTTCCACATTGTATAAGCCATGAATTCTTATCAAAAAAACAAAACCCATAAACCATTTTGTTATTTCATAATGCAGCACCCACCCCAAAGTGATATGCTAAAAGATTTACATCAGTATTTCAGAGAACAAGCTGTCAAAAAAACACTAAGAATTCTATTTCTTGGCCATCGCTACTAGTATATAAATGAAGAAGCTGTACAAGCATGAATTGTCATTAAATGTTGAATTTTAAAGTAGAAATCAAAGAATGGAAAAACAGAAAAACTGAAGAAACAAGAAAATAAAATATTGCTTAAATTGAAAAGGGTTCAATTAATAGAGTGAAGATAAAAATTATAAAATAAATGTAGAAACTTAAATCCTTAATTTCCTTTCTACTTCAAAGGCAAACTTTCTATAGCCATTATCAATTTCAGCACAGATTTTCTCAAAATAGCTAGTGGTATTCACAATGAAATTCAATTCCTTTATGTATCTCAGGTAGAAATCATCCTTGGTCAGGGAGAATTGTCAGTCACCTGAATCAACAGCCAGAATGACTCTTTATTATAACACTAGATCCCTTGATCAATATTGTATTCAATTCCATTTAAACATTACAGTATAACTCAGATTAACTCTGCACTAAAACTGCCCTACCTGTTGCCTTGGTTTCTCCACTACAGGTTCAGATAACAAAATCATAAGTATTTAGTAGTAGCTTTTCCTAACACTATCACTATTCACATAAGTTTTCTCTAAGCCCTATTCAAGCAAGCAGAAGGGACTTACAGTTTGCTGTAAATATGTGGTAATAACAGAATGAAATTTCTACAGTTATAAAATTTTAATTGATAACGCTATTATCATTTAACATCACTTTTAAAGAGCAAAATATTGCAAACTAGTTTTTCCTAGTTTATTAGTGTCTACTTGTTATTTCCTATGTACGTATGCACACATTTTTTGTGTCTGTACATTTTCAGAAAATCCTATGAAGCACATTTGTTACTAAAAAGGAAAAAACTCTAACTTCCCATGGAGTGTGAAAAATTCCAAATATCCTTTAGAAGTATAGGTACTTTTAGTATCAGCATCTACTAAAGCAATACAAACAAGAACTAAATTGAAGCACTTTCAATGAAATCTTAAGTATTTTACTTTTCAGCAAAGAGAATTTTCAGGTTTAACTGTACAGCACCTCTGAAAAATAATATATATTTATACACGTATGTGTGTGTGTATATATATATATATATATATATATACATATAAACATGACAAAAATTTAGGGAGATATATCAGAGTTATATTTTATCTTCAAGATCAGGTACTTCTCAGATAACGGGGGAACAAAACACTCACATCCGTGAATTTTGCCCTCATTTTCCCACTATATAAATTTAAAGAGTTATAGAAACTGAAAAATTTTAAAGGCTGTGTTTATTCGTTGTTTAGACCAGCAGGCAATTCTTTCTCTAACATCAGATTAAGTTGCAGATTTCGCTACACTGTATAATTAGAAAAGAAGTCTGCCAACAAATGAGTCTACATTAGCTTATTTGTACTGATAACGTATTCATCAGGATGTAAAAAATGTGAAATATATTTATTTCCTGTCTAAAATGCAAAATATTCACAAAATCGCTCCAATTCAAGCCTTCAGAAAAGAGAAAGTATCTTTTTAAAATTAAATGATTATCTTGCCAATCAAGAAAAGTGAACAGAGTTGAAGGAACTTTGTCTTTTCTCAGTGTATAGCCACTTCTTTTTCTTTAGATTTAAGATTAAATCTAAAGACTACACAGGAGTGTAACACACACTCCTTCTAAGGATCCTGCCCCATTAAGAAACATTTCAGTGCAACACGATCTGATTCTTTTTTGGCAGCACTGGGGTTTGAATCTGCAGCAGGACTCTTAATCCTTAAACCTGGGATAAAGTTGCCTTCCAAAATTGCCAAAAAAAATGTATTCACATTTAGGAAAGAAATGATGTCAAATCTATCAAGCATTCCCAAATTCAACATAACCCTGGGATGTAAACAGAAACTTCAAAATTTCTATCCAACTCCACTCAATACTTCACTATCTCCATTCAAAAAGGCAAATTGGAAGTTGCATTTATGATTCCTGAACTCCAAAAATCCCTATGAAGTATGACAGGAAATGTGTTCAACTCTGAACATTAAAATCAGGTAAGGCCTCCCTTGTGAACTAATTTGATTAACTTAGTACAGTACTTTCTCCTATTTTGCCAAGAAACTAAGGGCACATAACAGCGTACTTTATTAATAACTGTCCAGATAAGGAGTAGGATTATCTGACCAAGAAGAGTTTTATGAAAATGAAATCAAAACATGTTACACTTAATCTTCCGGATATTGCAAAGTGAAGATGTCTCTAGAATTCGAAGGAAGTTGATGTTTAGGCTCCTTCCGAGACAGGGGTACCCGTATGTACGACTTTTTGTGGTGATAATACCTCACCCAGAGGGCCTAGAGTAAATGCAAATTCTAAAAACCTTAGAAACGCTTTTAGGAAAGAAAGCTTCAATTCACTCTCGCTAAGTACAACAGTTACCAAGAGTTAGCAGCGTTCTCCTGGACAGACAGCAGCACCTCAACTAAGAACTACGGGGGCCTCTCTTAACCCGAGTCATTTCTTCCGTAAACTTTTAAGACCTCAGACAGCAGCGGTGGAGAGGCCCCGGCGGAAGTAGAAACCTAGGGCTGGCAACTTCACAGACAGAAGCGTCTGGGGTTCCTCCGCCGCCCCAGGACCATCCGGACTCAGTCTCTACTACATCAAGGAAGCCTCACTCTCCGCGAAAGGTGGCACCACAGTTGCACTCCTCCCTCCACCTTGCATGGCCTTCGATATCCCAGGGCCTCAAGGCTCCTGAGGCCCGTTAGCCAGTCAGCCAAAATGTTCCCATCTTACACTTCCACACACAAACAAAAACACACACAAGTGGCAGATGATGCGCGTGTATTGAGAGAAATGTTAAGAACCAATGGACCGGCTGCTGCCGAAAAGGTGGCAGAGCCGACCAAAACGGGCCCGGACTCCTCGGATACCGCCACTGCCGCCTTCTCTCCTACCCCAGGAAGCAGCGCGGCGGCAGCGGCTCCTCCGCGCTGGCGGGAGCCCGGGGGAGCGGGGTCCGGGGAAAGCACCACTGCTCGCGGACGGGACCGGGCCCATAATCTGAAGCTGCCGCTGCAGCGGCCCAAGTACAGCGACGCTTTACGTCCCGTCCACCACCACCCCCATACACACCCCCTCCCTCCCTCCACCGCCGCCACCCCCCCTCCCCGCCCGCTCCGCTCTCCCTCTCTCGATTGGAGCCGAGACAAAAGCAACGGGAAGCGGCGGGCCGGGACGCTACCCGCGGACCCCGGGCGCGATCGGCCCGGCCCCGAGGCATTCCCCCGCCTTGCGGGGGCCCCAAATCTGCCGCCCCCGCCGCGTGCCCCGCTACCAGACTTCCGAAAATTTGCCAAAAACTCACCGCATGAATTTTCTTGTCCCGCGGATCCAAGATGGCGACGTATCCACCGCGGAGGCTGCTGGGAGCAAGACCTTTACCCTCTGACCTCCGCCGTGACCCCCGTCGCGCCGGCTTCTCTCAAGGCGGCGGCGGTGGAAGGTGGGGAGCGGCGATTGCGGAACGAACCGGGTAGAGGGTGGGTACACCGCTTCCTGAGTGCTTGTGGGCGGGTGGGAAGAGGCGCTACACTCTCCTGGCGCCCTCTCGGCGGCTCCACTGTGTCTCCCACCGACTCTGGGAGGCTCGTCGGTCCTCTACAGCCGTTAGAGAGCGCGGGGTTTCTCCTGCTGCTGCTGTCTTCCTGGGAATGGGCCGCTTGGTCCGGGACTCGGGCGTTGGGTCCGCGGGGGGCCACGGTGTCCGGGGGCGGGGACTGGTGAGGTAGCGTCGGTCCGCCCACCTGGGGGACGCCGAGCATGTTAACGTTGGTGTTGGACACCCGCCTCTGCTCGTCCCCTCGGAGCCGAGCCCTCGGGAGGAATTCCACTTCCTGGAGGCAATGTAATTGACTGCTCTTCTCTCCTTCCGCAGCCCCGCACCTCCCGTGCCGGTGCCAGCGCTGGTAGAGACCAACCGCGGGCCCGCCACCGCCCTTCCAAGAAGTGAGTTCCCTCTGCCGCTCCCCCTTCCCTTTCGTTGTCTTTTGTTTGTTTTTAAACTTAGTGGGGGAAGTAATAGGAGCATGGTTTTTAGATCACTGTTGCCGAATTAAGTTGGTAGTGCTTTTCTTCAGTTCTCACTCCCCAGGCCCCTTGCAAGCTTGAGTGACCTGCTGGGCCATTTGAAATTCTAATGGCTTTGGTGACAACTTCAAGCAGTGAAATCTTTCCTAAAAAAAAAAATAGTTGTCACTCTTTTCTTTGAAACACGCTAATCTCCCTTTGTTCCGTTATATATCCCTAAATTTCATTTTTTAGGATTACTAGAGCTTTTAGACTTACAGGCTCTGCATAAGTGTTGTGAAGTTGTGTGGTTGCGTAATGTGAACGTTATTTAAGTGATAGTTTATTAATGTAACGTACAATTAATTTGAATAAAGTTTTTGTTTTCTTTGTTGTTTCTTTTCTACAATCAACTTTTCTTCCTCCCCCCCCTCCCCCGCCCAACATCACTATGGTTCAATTTAAATTTAGCATAAAAAACCAAAGGCGAGAAAAATAGGCATTCTGTAAAATAAACGGTAACGTCCTGTTTTTGATGTGTATATCTACAGATGAGTTTTGATATATCCACAGATGAGTAATTTTGTTTAAATTCCAAATGGTGTAGTGTGGCTGGAAAAAATGTCTTCTCTAGTTATTCATTTCATTAAACATTCTGCTTCACTGTGGTTTTTACTTCAGGAAAATTCAAGGAGGAGCAACACAGTTCTATATGCCTTTCCCTCCCTTTGTTCCCCACTTCCCTCAACAGTTCCTTCTGTTTTCTCTCCCTCTCGTGTTAACATTTACTGTCGTAAGGTAGTGTGTTAAAATTATTGTATGTGCCTCTGTGTACATGTGATACACACGTATATAATACATACACACACAAATATGTGTACATCACAATATGTATTACTGAGCGCCTTAATGCAGCTATCAATGGTTTGAAGCCATAAGTTGAAATGATAAAAGTGGAACACTATATGTATATAGTAACATTATTATCATTCTCATTTATTAGTTTGACTTATATATAGAACTTTGTTAAGGCCAATAGATGGACTGTATTTAAACCATTCCTTAATTTACTTCCAGCCCTTGATCGTGAAGATGTATTCTCTCTTTTTGGAAAACCTGAAGGATTATTACAGAAATGAAGAGAGGAAAAGTTAATTGGTGAAGCACACTAGCCAAAAAAAGAGCATTGAGGTGTATTTGAAAGAGAAACTCACTAGTACTCTGGTTTATTTTGTAATTTAATGGACTTCAGTTTCTTCATCTGAAATATACCTAAAAGCTGGGCACCAGTGGCTTGCATCTGTAATCCTAGCTACTTGGGAGGCCGACATTCAGGTAGATGGAGATTTTAGGCCAGTCCAGGCAAATAGTTTGCAAGACCCCACCTCCAAAATACCTAGAGCAAAATGGACTGGAGGTGTGGCTCAAGCAGTAGAATGCCTGATTTGCAAGCACAAAGCCCTGACTTCAAACCCCAGTCCCACAAATTTAAATAACTAACTAAAATATACGTAAGAATCTTAAGTTTTGAATGGTAATATTAAAAATTTAATAGTAAGCCCAGCCTATGAGTGACAAAATGTGTTACACATTAGTCTTTAGGTGACATTTTAACAAATGATTATTTCTTGATAATTCAGAGGTTCAGAGAAAGAGCTTCTTACTCTGCAGAATATAAACTGCAGTGTATTTTTAGAGTGAACTTTGGCAATATGTATCAAAAGCCTTGAGCATGTGCATTTGACCCAGCAGTTCCTCTTCTAGAAATGTATCATAAGGAAATAAGGGTGTGTGTAACAATTTGATTACAAGAATGTTCTTTACTGCACTGTTTATTGGTTAACTAGAATAAGCAGTATCCATTCAGCCATTAAAAACAATGTAGAGAGGGCTGGTGGAGTGGCTCAAGGGGTAGAATGCCTGCCTAGCAAGCATGAGGCCTCAAGTTCAAGCCCCAGTTCCATCGGGAAAAAAAAAAAAAGTAGAGGAAATTTAACTATTGAAGTGATACATGATGAATTACAAAGGAAAAAGTTTTTAATATAAATCCATGGTTTTTACATCTTCATAAAGGTTTTTTTCCTAATACCAATTAAAAGGCTACCCTTCTCTTTAAAGAAATTAGTGGATAATTCTAGGAAGTAGCACCACAAACTCAGTTGCCAACCTAAAACTCTATCCCTCATTTTTCTTCCCTACACTCACAGGTAAGCACCAATTCCTGCATATTTTGCCTTCTAAATATATCTAGCATTCATCCTTACGTTTACATTCCTACAGCCAGTCTCTTTATCATACCCTCCATAATCCTTCATCTGAACTTTTGAAAAAGTTTTTTTTTTTTTCTTAGATCAGTCGTTCTGGTTGTTTCAGTGCCCTGTAGTCTTTCAAACTGCCTAGTTTCTGTTGAGCAGGTATTAGAAGATTTATCCACCATATAAAATCTTTATAATGTTTTAACACAGGATTAAAGTGGGAACTCCTTTCCATGAAGTAAACTGATTCAATTAGAAAAAATATAATTAGGAAGTAGCAATAGCATTTTCTACTTCTGTGTAGTAGAAAAATAATAAAATCTGAGTTAAAGATTATAAATTCTCTACTAGTTCAGAAGAGAGAAGTTGAGACAAAGCTGTTGTGTCAGGCATAGCTTCACCAAATGGCCAATTTAAAAGAATAAGACACTTTTGCTGGGACTCCCATACAAATCCAGAGTAGATAACTTCAGAAACAAATTTATTCCTCATAGTTCTGAAGCATCAAGGTGTCAGCATGTTTGGTTTCTTCTGAGGACCTCTTTCTGGCTAGTAAATGGCTGTCTCTTTCAGGTATCTTCGTGTGGTTTTCCCTCTGTGCTTGACTGTGTCCTAACTCTTGAAAGGACATCAGTTATTGTGGATTATGGCTCGTACATGGGGCCTCATTTTACCTTAATTACATCTTTACAAGCTATGTCTTCAAATATAGTCACATTCTGAGATACTGAGGATTAGGACTTCAACATATGAATTGGGGGGAAGGTACACAGTTTAGCCTGTAATACACATGAAGGCAGAAATGAGCATGAGCCAGTAACTAGAATCAGAAGGTGCTGGTAGCAAGATTTTGAAGTGTTGTAAATGCCAGGCAGAAAGTTGATAATGGATGTTTTTAAATAAATTACTGCTACTCAATCCATTTCCAAGGTTTATTTAGCACCAAATTGGGGGGTGCTTCTTAGACTAGTTTGCAATTAGATATCGTATGCACTTTTATCACCTAACATCGCTCTTATCTTGCCAAAATAGTTATCTACAAATTATCTCAAAATTAATGGAAGTTTTTACCCATTTGAATCAATTTCATACAATATAATATTTCCCCACATCATGCAGAAGACTCAACAAAAGATTTTTTACTCTTTCTTAATTCACCTTTGTTGAATGTTTAAAAACATTTAAGATGTTTTCTCAATCAAAAAACCGTACTTAGTCTATCTTATGTATAAGGTATCTTTCATTTAAAAAAAAAAGTAATATTAAGGATAGTGCAGTACTTCATACTTACAATCTCAGGCCCAAGGTTTAATCCCCAGTACTGCCAATAAAAGTAAAATTACCTGCTCCCCAAAGTTTTCTGACAGCTATATAAACAATAAATCAATTTAAAACTCACATATAATCAGCTAATGTATTTCACTGAAAATGAAAAAAAAATGTTAAGAAAGGTTAAATGCTAAAACAATAATGAAAATAACTTGTATGTACACAGCAGTTCAGTGAAAGAATTATCTGTGCCCCTTAAATAGTAATGACCTTAGTGATAATCATTAAAATGCTAAATATTAGCCTGTTTTTAAATTGAGGAACTTATGCTCACAGCAAAAATGCATTCGATATAAATGAAATGAGGTGATGATTATGAAGTATATGTAATCCCAAGAAAATCTTGGGCTTGGAAGAAGCAATCTAAAAATTCTGTACTCCAACTGAGTTTGTTCTATAATTGGTCTCAGGAACTACTTTTATGTTTTACCTAAGAATTTCACATATTTGGCTTTCCATTTTATTTATACTTGAAAATTGTTCACACTGGTTTTTCATAGATGGAACAGCTGAGCAAATTTTTCCTACAAAATTAGGATAAAAGCTTGCTTACTCAGTTTCTAGTGCTAATAAACTTTGTAGCACATAGTTTGTGAAATAAACCTCTTAAGAACTAAATGTGCACAGCATACTGCAAGGTACAAGAAATAAGCTAAAAATGAGCTTATACACCTACATCTGACCAACACACTTCTGTATGCATGCAAAAATCATGACTGGGAAATCAATGAAAGGAGATAACAGTTCAGTTCTTAAAGGGTTAAATAGAAACCCCAACATATTGTTTGTTTTAACCATCCATCTTACATTATACTGCCAGAAAGCAAAGTTAAAAGTCTGGCACAGAAAACTACATTTGTTGAGTACACAACAGACACAGAAGTTTTTGAAATCAAAAGTAAGTAACTTGGTTAATAGTTTAAGAGCAGTTTATTTCAAAAAAGACCCAGCCCCTTTATTATGTGGTTAAACATAAATAGATTCATTCCCATACTTGGCATTGGAAATTTTTTGGTCAGACATAGATGATACTGGTTTCATTTAAATAAACAAAATAGTTACATTACAAGCCTTCCGTAAAAGAGGCAAGTATATCACTAAATTACCAGAATGCCTTAATTTACTAAGGTTTAAAAAAAAGTCAGCAACAGGTTGAAGTGCTAACCTGAAATCCAAATATAAAGGACAT